CCTAGGACAGCGGGGAAGCCAAGATAAGGTAGAACCACAGGTGGCGAGTGGCTGGGGTGTAGGGGAGGACGGAGTCCCAAGACTGCCCGCTGGGGACCACGCCAACTCTGGTGGCTACCCCAAGGAAGGACCCCCCCACTGAGATTACATTCAAAGTCACGGCAGGCGAGTTCAGGGGTCCTCCTGACTTCAGCAGAGGTAGCCTCCGGGGCCCAGCTGTAAGCCCGGGGCCCGCAAGATCTAGGGCTCGGGCGAAGGCGGCGCGGAAACACCTTCTAGAGCGGAGGCGGGTACAATCACCTTAAGAAATCCTTGTCTCTTTCATATTCAGGTATTATTGTATCATGGAATGGAAAGGTAACGAACTGTTTATATACAGCTCAGTTATGACTGCAATGCCACAAGCAATTGGACAAATAGTTGCTTGTGAATGCAGGGACAAGACTCAATAACTCAAGAGGTCCCTTTCACTCCTCCACAAGGCCCTGAATATGGACTTATCACTTGGCCAGAAGAGGTTGTTTTTGTTTGTCCTTCAAATTTGAAGATGACTGTAACATCACAGGTTGGTTTAGTTTTTGTGGACATACGAATGGCTGATCAGGTCAATTTGTGCTTTGGACTGTCTACTGCACACTGAGCAAGAGATGCTGCTTTGGGTTGCTTGGAGGTTACTAAGTACATGTACAAGCACACACAAGAACAAAGGGTTCTAGGAAGCCCACTAGAGGTATCTCTATGCAGGTGTAAAATAGCTTTGCCACATGTTAAGTACATAGTTGATATTATGTTTGACAGACTGTTTAGACCATGTGTCCTACCTGTAGAAATCCTGACCCATAGAAATGACATAAAACAATTTAATTTTTTTAACTTTGTTTATTAATTTCCATTCCTGTGACCATACACAGACAACCATATTATTCAAGGTCAAACATAAAGGCCAGGAAATATACCACGAGCTTGGTACAGAAACAAAACATTGAGAGGTGTCCTAAAACAACAGGAAAATAGCATGAAGGTAACATAAAAGTATGAAAAAAGTAATAGGCATCTTCACTATAAATGTGATCTGAGAACTTTTTGTATCCTAGCACTAAAGACAGACCCCGTACAACTGTGACTATACAGGGAACCCCCATTTAATGCTGTTTCGCTTAGCGCTATTTCGCTATAACGCTCGTTTTAAATTGATACCTGATTTCACTTAGTGCTCAGTGAGTTTCCTTATAATGCTTATGGTTGCCATCTTGGGTCATTAAATACTTTTGGTTTTGCTTAACACTCATTTTGCTTATTGCTTGGTTTTTCAGGAACCAATTAAGAGCGCTAAGCGGGAGTTTCCTGTATTAAGTACAAAGCAGGCATGGAGCTGAGTGCAGATATTTTAAGGTATATTTTGGGATCATAAAGTGCTTGCACTTCAAGACCCTGTGATTTTAAATAAGCAGTTATGTAAAGGGTAGTGTAAGTTACAGGATAATGGTTGGATGCTACAAATGCTTGCTGCTGAAGTGGTGTTTGCTACCATGAGTGATTCCATTGGGGCAGATACATTCTTCCCCTGGCACAGAAACATAGGGAAAATGTTTCTCCTGTTTGCATGGAGCCAACTTGGGTTTTGGCATGGGCTAGAATAGCTGCCTGGCTGACCCAAGTAGCATTGTTGTTCAATGACTTAGTGGGCTACTTCAGGAGTGTTGAATTGCTAGGACAGATCTGTCAACACTCCTGAAGTGGCCCATTATGGGGAACTTGGTCATACCTTCTCTTATTGCAGTTCTCTTGTCTGACCCAGTTCTTCAGTCTCCCCTGGAATGCCCCTGGGCTTCAGGCTCCTACAGAGGTAGCATATGGGCCCTCTGTCTCAGTGCTAATCAATAGGACAGTGGTTCTCAGCCTTTCTAGATTGAAGGCACCCCTTGGAAAATACCAGCTCTCAGTTTTCACTTGTTTTTTGACTGAAAAAAAGAATAGAGCAAATCTTCTGCTGCAAAGAACTCAGAAAGACCGCAGCAAGGAAGAATCTTTGGGTTTATCTGGTGAATTATGTTTCAAAACCTAACAGTATTAAATTGCTTGGCACCCTGTGGCAACCTTAAGAGGATCTCAAGGCACCCCAGGGTACTTGGCACCATGCTGGGAATCATTGCACTAGGGAGATCATAGAACTTCCTCATAGAAATGCAGGGTAGAAGTGATCTGAAGATATCACCTGGCTCCATCCTCTACATTAAGGAAGGATCAAATATACCTGGATTATTGCTGATGGCTGTTTGTCTAATTTTTTTCTTTAAAACTTCCCATGAAGAAAATTACACATCACAAGGTAGCCTGTTCCAGTGTGCCCCCCCTGCCGTCCTTTTGCAACAGCCTAACTAGCATAACAGAGCCATACTGGGCCATGGATCAGCAGTGGGTGACAAACAGTAGTAAGCACTACACTTACTAACACAAATTTACTAGACTGAACTGTAAATTGGCAAAGAAATAGATGCAAGTGGTAAAACAGTGCAACTTGTACTGATTTGCCAGTCAATGTGTATGCAAAAAAGTGTGCTTTACATAGAGTGGAGGTGGATGGGAGGAAGAAGCAGACATAATTTAGTCATCTCCATGCCTATTTCTGCTCTTCACCTCTTGAAAAATGTTTCTTTGCTGTCTAACAAAGAATCTTTCCTTTTACACATGTATTGAGTCCTGCCCAAACTCAACCTTTTTTTTTTTTTTTTTTTTTTTTAAATATGAGCCCAGACTAATATGCCATGATTTCATCTTCCAATCACTTAAATAAAGAAAGTCTCAGCTAATAAAGAAAACATGCAGCATCACAGGGGGAAATGTAAGAGTCCTCCGAAGCCAACTCCATACTGATCAGGTCATAATGTTTATTTAACAATGGTTGTAATCAGGCATAGTTAGTATCCAGAAGCAGAGTAACTAGTTATTCTTTGGTATCAGGATTTTCCCCCAAAAGAGTACACTGTTTTCAAACTGTATAAAAAACAGGAATGGTCTCTCAAATTTTACGTTACTAGGAGCAGCCATTGGCACTATTTCCACGGCAGTACCTGCTGCAGCTTCAGTACCAGACTCGTGCACTTTCACCATGGCCTTGTGAATAGCCTACAAGGAAATAAATAAATATTACTGTTCTGCGAGTTGAAAGCAGCTCACTGAAAATGAACTTAACTTCTTTGGATCTTGAAGTGCTGATAGAAACAACTGATTAGGAACGGGCAGTAGACAAACAAGTGTGATTGAAAAGCACAAAGCAAAAACGTATTTATATTATTTTGACAACTGATAAATTGGCTGGGGGGGGGGGAAAAAAATCAATAATCTATATGCAGCAAGGGAAGAAATTTTTTTTTATCTCTATTCCAGAGGCATAGTATTACTATCATGAACACTGACCTTGTTTTCTCTATTACTTATATAAGTGTGAATCAGGACTAGTCCACACTGTTGTCAATGGACGGCGTGTGCATGGGCATGTGTGTGCGCGCATGTGTGTGTGCACACATGCTCAGGAAGTACCCACACCTCTTGAAAAAAGAAGAGATTTTAAATTGTTTAGAAGGAAAAAAAAAAAAACCTAATATTTTAAAACAGTGGGTCTCATCATTTAAGAACTATATACCTGTAATCTCCTAGTGCCTTCTTTCCAAGCCATTATAGTTCAACTTTAGTTAAGTCCATAAGGATCATCAGTCTGAGAACTTTACAATTACACATGCCCTATACCTATAGGGTAAATTGCATTGGTTAATAATGATTGCAGAACAACCCCCTTAACCAGCAGGCAGAATTGTATAAATGGAGGCTTGTGTGTAAGTGAAGGAGCATGATTGTTGTCCAGTAGTTAAAAAAAAAAATCCTCTTGTACATTTCCTTGACCATCATGGTTGCAACAACACTCCAACCTGGTTGGTGGTTAGGGTACTCATCTGTGGGGGAGCAAGTGGGAGGAGAAGCAGAGCCTGAGACTTTCACAGGAATGACTGTTTAATTTAAAGTACAGAATCAGTCCTTGCAACAGGATTCTCTCTATCAGGGATGCCTTGAGTTCTAAGCTGCAGACGCCTTGTTTGTGCTTTCTCTTAGGCTCAAAGAATCTTGAATTCATTGCTGTACAATGGCTCAGCTTCAAAAGGTGTGGAGAGTGTGTGCATGCAGCCTAACCTATAGACTAGTGCAGTGGTTTTCAAGGTTTTTTAATTTGCAGACCCCTAAAAATCACTGAAGCACCCTCATGCCCCAGACAGTGGCATCAGCATTTACATGTGTGGTGCTGCAGAGTTTATTTGTTTACTCCAGCCTAATAGCCCTGCATGTGTAGATGCTGAGACGTTTACTGGAGAGCTTATTAATCTATTCCACAGTAAATGTCTTGTACAGATGCACCCAGTGAGATGGTGAAGACGTTGTGTAGCATGGGCCTGTACAACAGAGAAACCTTCTGGGCCAAAACACTGTATTGCTGTAATTTGATACAACTGAACAGCATAAGCAGCCTAACTAGTTTTGGATGAGTATTACATCTCTTCACCCACTGTTTACCAATGGCAAAGACCTTTTAAATGGGTTTCTGCTCAGAGACATTGTAAAGGAATGCTTTTAAACATAAAACATTAAACTGAAAGAAACATAATTTACCTCTGAAACCCTGTGCCTGGGTGTCCCAGTTATTCCAGACAGGTCAGCTTTATCGGTGAATAAATCAATGATGCCCATTCTATTAAACATGCCTTTCAGTTCATATGTCTCAGAAAGGTTGAATTTTGGAAGATACAGTTCCAATAGCCTGTCCAAAGAGGAATGCAAGAAAATTATTAAACATTTCAATCCAATATCAGAGTACTCTGCAGGCTCAGTAGGGACAACTTCTTGTTCTCTTCGACTATGTCTACACATATGCTTTACGACAGAGTAAACTAATTAGCTGCAGAGTGAAGCATCACTGTCTATATGTGTGATGGTATTAGGCCACAGTAAACTAATTTTCTACTGTTGGGAATAGTAGGGTAATTAACTGTGATTAAAAGCACATGTAGCTATTGATCGTTGGTGTAAATTTTGCCCAGTCAGCCCAGCTAGCAGGGGGCCAGACCCCTGCTTGCCACTAGCCACATAGATCTGCACTTCTAGCACTCTTGTGCCCCGGCCAGCCCCTCTGCTATCCAAAGCCACCACCCAAAACCCTGGGCCCAGCAGTCCTGGCACAAATTGCTCTGCCCCAGCTCAAATAGCTTCTGTCCTGGGTGACGTATAGACACTGCACCTGGGAGTAGTTTACTCTGACTCAAACTGCTCCAGAGATTATTGCTTTGGATTAATTGCATGTGTAGATAGACCCACTGTCCCACATAGTGGGCATGCCTACACAAGACATTTACTACAGAGCTGAATAATTAACTTAGCAATAACCATATCAGTGTCTATATGTGCACCCCTATTGGGGTGCAGGAAAATAATAAACTCCAAAAAGGGTAGTAATTCTTGTAAATAGAAGTACTACTCTGCTGTGGAGTTTTTTTTCATGCGCAGCAGTGCACAAGTAAAGACTGACCTGGCTCACCGGGCACGAAGGTGCTTCAGTGCAGGGGCTGTCTGCTAGGGCTGTGTGAAATTTCACCCGGTATTTCATTTCGAAGCTGTTCTGATGCGTTTTGAGCTCAAAACAGCAAAATCGACATGAAACAAAAGCCTTCGAAACAGCTTCAAAATGAAACAAGGGAACTTGAAATGTTTCAAAAGTTTTGAAATGTTTGAGTTTCAAAGCCAGGCTTACTTGCTTCAGTGCTGGTCCCAGCCGGCAGCACCTGCCTCCTGTCTTCTGGCAGGCAGATCGGAGGCTTCCCACACCCCAGGACTGCTGTGGGGGCTGTGCTGGAGTCCTCCCAGGGTGCAAGCCCCCCAATCTACCTGCCAGATGACAGCTCACACCCAGCGCTGGGAAGATTGATGCTGCCATACCGGAGCTGGCTTGAGGAGGGTACGGGGCCCAGTGCAGATCAGCTCATGCAGGGACCCTACCCCACTCCGGGATCACGGCAGCAGGTCCCTACATGAGCTGATCTTCACCGACCCTGCTGGCCCCAGGCAGCAGCACCTGGCTCCTATCAGCCGGCAGGCAGATTGGGGGCCTGCCGGCACCCGCGGGAGGGCTGTGGGGGCTGTGCTGGAGTCCTCCTGAGGGTGCATGCCCTCGATATGCCTGTAGGGCGACAGGAACTGGATGCTTCCACCTGGGGCCAGCAGTGGCACCAAGCTTCCCGGTGCCAGTCCCAGGCAGCAGCACCCAGCTTCTCTCACCTGGCAGGTAGATTGGGTGCTCGTACCCCCAGGAGGACTCCAGCACAGCCCCTGCAGCCCTCCCGATGGTGCAGGCAAGCCCCTGATCTGCCTGCTGGATGAGAGGAGCCAGGTGCTGCTGCCTGGACTGATGGCAGCACTGATCTTCCCAGCACTGGTCCCAGGTGGCAGCACCCGGCTTCTCTCATTTGGCAGGCAGATCAGGGGCTCGCACCCCCATTAGGACTCTGGCACGGCCCCTGCAACCCTCCCAGGGATGCGGGCAAGCCCCCAATCTGCCTGCCTGCTGCATTTTATATTTCCCCATAATAACCTATGGGTGAAACATCGAAACAGCGTTGAAACAGCAAAACAATTCCGATGAAATGAAATGGAACAGTGCTTTATAAATTAAATGAAACTTGAAATTAAACACTGTTCTGTCGAATCACTGAAACAGAAGTTGAATCGGAACGGTGCTGTTTTGCACAGTCCTACTGTCTTCCTGCCAACCCAGCTCTGAAGCAGCCTTGTGCCCCAGCCAGGCCCTCCTCAACACGTTGAGCCCAGTCAGAGCATCCCCAGGCTGGCAGGTTGACCCCCAAGGCCCCAAGCCACCCAGGGCTGCTTCGACCTGGCTCAATGTGCTGTGGTCCAGACACACGTGTAAACAGCACACCCAGGAGCTTCCCAGGAGCTGTAAACTCTGGAGTTTATTTCTGCTTATTAGTGACACATGTAGACACACCCAGTAGGTTTAAGACCTGTGACAGAGATTTCATCTGATATTAATTTTTCAGAAACAGGAAGTTTCAGAATAAATGACCTTGGAAGTGAAGAGAAAGAATGGAAGAGAAGGTAAGAGGCTAGCTTAAAACTCAGGAGACCTACATTCAGACCTCTTGTTCTGACACACATTTTGTGTGTGATTGCAGGCAAATTGCTTAGCATAGGTCAGTACAGCTTTCAATACAAGCCCACCACTGCCACCAATAAATAAACTCCAGAATGCAAGAACACATACTTTTGGCCAGCCCAAACTACTCCAGCCCACCCCTGAGCCATCTATACCTCTTAATTTGCAAGTCTGAGAATATGCAGAGTAAGCAGGAGAGGGTGGAATTTATTTCCCGGCATTGCTCTGCTCTGAGGCTCACTCAGAGGCCAAACAGCTGTACCCTTAGGTTCTCTGTGCCTCATCGCCCTACCTGTAGAAAGGGCATTACAGACCTTCCCTATCGTACGAGGATGATGGGGCAATAAATACATGAAAGGCTATGAGGTGCTTAAAAAAGACAGTTTTCTTTAAGAACAGCTTCTAAGCATATTTCTAAGTAATGTGGGACTGAAACTGTGCTCCTGTGAGCTCTTGGTTACTCCACCATTCAGTCTTTTTCTCTGCCCTGTCCTTTGGCAGCCCATCCAAGCAGAGCTTTCTTACTTTCCCCTCCTACAAATCTGGTGCAATAATGTCTGCTAAAGAAAATGAAAACTCCCATTGATTTTAATGGACATTGGTTCAAACTCAGGGTAATTCCTTTTTCTGTCTATAACCAGAAGAGATGATCAATAGACTTTGAAATCAGGATCAGACTCCAAAACTTGCTGGTCAATTATCTAACCATCTATTTCCTGTTTCCAAAGTGGTCATGAAATAGGCTGCAATGTATTCCTATTTCCAGGGTAATTTCTCTGTCTCAGGCTCTTCAACCAAGATTTGCAGAAGAAACTAATGATTTGGAGGTGCCTCACTGGGCCATCTTAACTGTGCCTGATTTTCAGAAGGTTCTGATCATTCACCTTCTGAATAATCAATCTCCTCTTGCATGTCTTAGGCTGGGCACCTGAAAATTTTGGCACTTGTCTCTAGATGCTTCTGCAAACGTTGGCCTTTAAGTTTAACAATTAAATCAAACACAGAGGGGACAAAAAAGGGGGGGAAAGTGACAAAGGGAAGAAGAATATATGATGTTTAATTTGTTTATGATGGAGGGGGGTGTGCCGAGCACAGAAGAGGGATATGGGTGGGTAGGCTCACCCAGAGCCACATCTGATGTGGGGGAGGGAGGGCAGCCTCACTCCCCAACAGCTACAGAATTAACACTCACAGGTGCCATAGACCTGTAGGTAGAACAGGACTGTGAAACCCTCCAATTGGCAGCAGCTGTGACAGGATTAACCTAGTACCTGTTGGCTGGGCACCTCCTCCTGCAGCAGCACCAGCAGCATCTCCCATGGACAGTGGGGGTGGCACTAACACAGGAACTCTTGTCCCACTCTGCACTGCTGCAGCCTACAGCTTCCTGCTGCCACCCTGGTGCCTCCTGCCTCCATTCTGGAGCCACCCCATTAGTCAGCAGCCAGAGTTTATGCCCCCCCCAAATCCCTCATTATGTTACTGGTTTTGATACAAGGTAGAAACAAAGCACACTGAAAATATCTAATTCCTAAATCAAAACCTTTGCAAGTCCTTGGTTTATATAGATTTAGTCAGATATATAGACAATGAATAGTTCAGTACTATCTGTAAAACAACTAATACCTCTCTGTCTCTTCCTTGCTATCCTGGCAGAGATTTTTTAGTAGTTTTTCCTGGAGTTATATCTGGCATCCACATTTAAAAGTGCTAGTAGATTGATATCATCTAGGAGCACATCCTGAATTGGGAGTTAGGATTATTGCAGGTACCAAGCAGGTTTGCTATGGCCTTCTTGAATGCTGATCTCCTCCCACCTGATCATTGGCAGGAGGGGCTAAATTTGCCAAATTAATGACACAGTTGTCAGTGGGCCATCACATTACACTGAACAAGGCAGTCCACCAGGCCTTGCTTGCTGTTAGTGTGAAGGGAGAAATGAAATGTGGCTCACACACCACCTCATTAAAAGAAGAGACTCTGGGCACAGCTTTCCTTAGCATGTTGTCTTTGAAGTAGCCACACATTAAACAGGTTCCTCTTTATGTGACAGTAACACTCTGCTCTTGTACAACACCTTCCATCCAATAATCTCAACAGCAATAAACACCTCTCCCAACTCCATTTCAAAGTTGGAGAAACAGAAGCACAAAGTGATTAGTGGCTGAACCAGGAACAGAATACGGGTCTCCTGATACTTTGTCTTGGACTTTAAAAATAGGACAAACTCTTTTTCCATAATTATAAAATATCAAAATGCTCTGAAATACATTCCACTCAGCTGTACCCCATTCTACATTATCTCCACTTGATGGATTTACTTACAGCAGACACATGGAAGAGGACTGTGCAAACTTTACAACTAAACCCCTTATCTGGTTTGTGAAAGCCATATCACTTCCCCCTTGGAGATCCTCTTTGTTGCTGTGGTATATCCCGAGGTATCAGGGCTGAGACTGAGGTAAAGGTGAAAAAAGAAAATGGAACCTCAAGAAGACCCAGTTTTGCCGCTCCTGAGCAGAAAAAATGGTAGGTCATCTGATTCACTGAAGCCCCTTCAGTTGGTAGATGTGACCAAAGATGCAAAGTGTGTGTGTGTGTGTTCCAGTTTATTTCACATGTGTGATACCATATATATTATTCTGAATCACCTATTTATTCTGTGCTAACTTTAGGAACAATACTGAGGATGCTTCTATTAGTAGGACTGGGCAGTGGAAGTTCTAGAGGCTATCTCCTCAGCTAGCGGGCACACAATGTTCAATAAAAAAGTTTTGTGTAAACAGTTTTGCCATAGTTTAAAAAGTACTGCCTAATAGTCAATGTAATGACCATTGTAAAACTGTATTTAATTTAATTCCATGCTTTGTCTTGAATTTGGAATTTGATTCTCTAAAGCAGAGCTGTCAAATATGCACCTGGATTATACACATGCACATATGTTACACATGTGTTTTCAGGAGTTATGTAGAACCTAAATTTGCCTCTTAAAAAAAAGAGTTAATTTTCTATCCATATGGGTTGCAAAGATTATATTAATTTAATTGCTGATCCCTTTAGCAGATAGGATGGGGGAATGAAGCTGAAGGGGTATTGGAAAAGGAGAGTTGTTGCATGAAAGACAGAGATTAATTCACCCCTTTCCAAAGCTGAGTCCGACACCCCAGACTTCCAGTATGAGCCCGCCACGAAAGTGGAAAACTCAAGAATTTTACCTTTTTGAGACTAGTTTTCTCCATTTAAACAGAACTTGACATGACAAGCCTCTCTCCAGCTTCTGCATTTGTCCTCTATCAGGCAGAACAAAAAATGCTGTAGCACCTCCTTTATAATCCATCTGCACCACTGTAGAAGACAGCTGCCTGTCATAGCCATATTTAAACATGCCCATCCGAAACATCATTGGGACTTTAATAACTGTGTTCTTATCCACAAAAAAGTCCCTTTGTTTAGTGTATTTGGGATCAAACTGTTTTTCCCAGCCAGCTGCAGATTAAAAACAAAAAAAAGAAAAGAAAAGAGAAAGAATGGGTTACAATTTCTGAAAATGAGAAGTCATGGGGTGTATCTTCATCTAGTGTGAACTGCTGTAGTAGCATTCATTTGAGAGCTGTAACACTTCACAAAAACTGAGGGTCTGCCCTTAATTTCATAAATCAGAATAATTCAACATTAATATGCATATGATTAAGTAGGAAGGAGCAGGATGTAGCTAAAAGAAACTCTAAAGCTACTATGTAGGAAAGGATAGTGTCTTCACCTGGAGTATACACCAATTCAAATGTCTCTGCACCAGAAACTTGCCAGGCACAGTTTTCAATGATGAGGCTTAATACATTCCCCTGTGCCCTATTAAGGGAGGTGGATTTTCCTGTTTGGCAGTAGCTTTAAAGCACCTGTGAAACATGGAGGATATTCTATTCTATGAAAACTCTTTTATACCCTGTAGATGAGGGGAAGAAAAAGGATGTCACTCAATTGCAGAGTATCTCCCTTAATTAGTCCCACACCAAGACCAGTTTATATGCATATTAAAATTGTGTCTCATCATGCTGCAATCCATGCCTACCAGTTAAGGTGACAGGATCCTTATGAATACCTCAGAGAGACTGAGAATTTAGTTCCAAATGAACCTTACATAACTTCCTTTTTTTCAAGTGATTATTTCCCCTTCAAACTACAGATTGTTCAAGTAGAAAACTGGTGGAAAAGTTGCCTTTATTGACTGACACAAAAATTCACCTTTCAAAATTTGTTTCTGTCCCAAACAGGGGATAAGAAGTTGAAATATCAATTTTTTTGTGGCAGAGAAATTTTAACGAAATTTAAGGTAAAAAAAAACTTAAAATATTCCAGTTCCACATTTCTGATCAAATGAGTTCTGGTCTCCCCAAATGAAATGTTGAACTGAATCAAAATGCTTCCATTTCCCCATAAATTAACAGTTTGATATTATCTTCTGCCCAGAGGAGCTACTGTCATTCTCCTGAATGGAATAAGCTGTCTGCTTGGACCCTACGTTTATGGGATCTGCAGCAACACAGGTGGACAGAGATTGATATCCAACTGATATAAAATGAAATGCTTGATTTGTTTCTACAAAGTGAACCCTATGACTCAACTCAACTGCATACAAAATAAAATATTTCCTTCAGATTTTCCAGGTGGGAAATAAAAAGTTGGCAAAAATCAAATTTCCCATTTACTTTTTCAAGTTTTTGGAAACTGCATTTTCCACAAGGAAAGAAAAAATGACAAAGAATGCCAAACTAACAAAACTCAGATTTATACCTGTATTTCATACTGTCCAAAATTCATCCAGAAATGCCCTGTTTCTGATTACTTACTAGTAGTAACAGACCTTTCTAACAAACATACAACAAACTTTGATCTAGTTGAGTAAAACATGAACTGAGATTCTAACACTTCTAAGCTCTAATCTTTGCTCTGCTAACGAATGACTGTGAAGTCGTTTACACATCAATTTACCATCTTTTGATTCCCTATCTACAAAATGGGTATAGCACTACTTACCCTGAACTTAATAAGAGTGCAATGAGAATTAATTACAGCTTTTACAAGAGTTCAAATATATAAAATGCTGAGCATTTTGAAGACAAAAGGAAATGTATTACTTGGTGGTAGAAATGTCTCTGTGAACAGCACAGTTAATAAGATAATTTTGTTCATGCAAGTTTTACAATAGATCAATCTGCTAAAAATAAGCTCCCAATTTTTGTATCATCAGGTCCAGAAAGCCCAGAATGGGTCACAAAAACTGTTAGCAAAAGTTGCAGGCCCAAATCCTAAGGTACAGAGAATGTACAAGTTTCTAAAATTCAAATATACTTTATAAAAGCACCCAAGCTTCAAGATTGTTCTCCAAATCAAACCTAGACTCTAAACCAAACCTTCTTATTTTCCATACACAATTACCAGAAGTAGTTAAGATTTTAAGGTTAGGCCTTCACATTTTCTTTCAGATTGAACCCCCCCCCCAGTCTAGTTTTCCACTAAATCAGAGCTGGGAAGTAATTTCAGGTAAGGAACTTAATATTTTGGCTAAGGTCAATTGTTACAATAAATACATTTTTAGGATAGATACAGCAGATACCTGTAGTTGCGTATGCATGATGTGCAAGTCCTTATTACCTTTCCTATGTTAATTTATCTCTAATATTAGAATGTATCATGCTTTATTAAGATTATAACTCAGCTTTACCTTACTAGCTATGTAGTATTTTGTTTGCATTCCTGTTTAATTGTTTGGGTGGGCACAATTCACAATTTTTGCCCAGTATAGTGACAGGAAGGAATTCTGAGTACCTGTTAACTAAAAGTCCATCCTGAAAAGGTTTCTTAGAAAGAAAAGAGATGCATTTGGAATGACAGGGCTGCATGAATCAACTGGACTACATTCAAACTAGCTTTACCAGTGTATAGCCAATCCCTTCAGAAACTGAAACAAATAAAGAAATGCAGTACAAAAATGACAGAAAAATATGAATGCTTTAAATTTTGCTTAAATTAAAAATTGGGAAAACTATCAATAGAATAATAGTCAAATAATAATTGACAAAAACACTACTGACGTTTTTGAAAAGATAATGAAATATTTCAGACTGCAGAAGTCAGGAGTGATTCCTTGTGCCAGTGTAATTACTCATGTGTATAAATACTGATAGAGCTGTGGCCCTGGGAAGATGCAAAAGTTCTAGTTATTATATGTGTTAATCTGAGTAAATACAAGGCTCTTCTTTTAGTTAAGATTTCATGTTTACTGGAACAGTATTCTATGAACTGAACTCAGAACATACTTCACAAGGAAGAACTTAATTATCCCTATTCAGCAAAGCTTGTAAGCATGTGTTTTATCCCTACTATATTCAGCAGAATTTATACGTATAAGTGCTCTGTTGAATAGGGATGCTCTTCTAAATCTAGGCCTACTTAAGCATACATTTTACTTACCTTTCAATCAGAAAAAAATCTGATGGTGTTTTATTTATAAGCATTCCAGCTGATTTGAAAACAGGAAGATTTTTTACCTTAATTTTTGCCAAAACATCAATAGCTCCAATCAGAAAATTATTTCTTTTTAAAACATGTTGACCAGCTCTGTTCATAACTAACAGCATAAGTAAGCCATCAAGACTGAAGCAAGCTACCGTTTCCCCTCACAAATAGTGTTTTAACGAGCACAAAGGCCAGGGACAACCTGCAAGGTAGGAGACCCAGAGACATGTCTTACCTTTAAAGTAAATATAACTAACAAGAAGAATTTCAGTTAACGGATCAATATTTTTGACCAATTGGACAATTTTCCCATTCGTTTTTTCATTTACATATCTGTTGATCTTTTCCTCAGCTTCTTTAGTATATCTGAAGTTTACAGGAAAAATTTCCTCTCCACAAATGAGGTCGAGATTGTTTCGAAACTGCTGTAATAGTTGGAGTTCTTTCGTCACAAACATGACATTTCCCATATTCAGCTCAATGTCATTATTCTGTTGGTTTAACTTTTGCATGATATTGCAAAAACCTTCATGAACTTCCTCCTCCTGAATCTTTTCTGAGTTAAAACCGAGTCCTCTAAGAATCTGGTGCAGAGTCTCTGATTTAGCTCCCAGAGCTAACATCGCCAAAGTACCGGTTATGCTGATGGGTGAGAAAAACACATTCTCCTTGTTTCTGGAAGGAGCTGTTTCCTTGTAGAAGCATAATGCAAATTGGCAAATGCTGTTCTGTATCTTATGAGCCCATGTATTTTGGTTTGTTTGACCTGCTTGCTCTTGGTGGCTTACACCTGGATTGAGTTCAGAGTAGCTATTGTAATGAGGGTACTTTGAATCCTGTGGGCAAGGGTCGTTAGCACGAATCCCAGCAAGCAAAAAGCACAGGCAAAAAAGTGACTTCATTTTCTATAATTCTGTAAGAAAATAAAAGCAGATATTTCCTTTAATAATCTTAATAATTGTTCTTTTTACCATGAGCATAATATGCATGCACTATCTGGCACCAAAGACCATAAACTATTTGAATTCTGTGGATATTATATTACTGTAGACTTAGAGATAACAGCATTGTATTTGAAGGGAACAAATTATGTAAAATTACTGAATCTACTAAACAAGGAAGAAAAAAAATGCTGCTATCAGGAAGCATAGAAAAGGCTGAAGTAACTTAAGAAATATCAGAATTAGCGTATGACAGACTAGAGACTTGTAGTTCTTTATGTTTTGTTTTTTCTGTAGCTTTATGATGGACTGATTGTAAACCTGAGGGTTAAAAGGAGTATATAATAAAAACTGATAAGAGAAGGGAACTAATCAAGTATATTCAGTTACATTTTGCAGGCAAAGAAAAATAAAAATAAAGCAATATTGATGTTAGAGAAAGGGAAATGGAGAAGCTTCCACAAGTGGATTGAAGGAGAGAAAGTAGACCTATTCATTAATGAAAAGAGGATAAAAAAAGAAAGGTTCCTCAGTGTTGGAGGAAGTGAACTGCTTTTTCAACGTCTGTACTTAATGAGGGAAAGGAAATTTCTCTGGGTGGTTAGTATGTCATAAAACCCTTGGTAAATGTGATGTAGCTTTTGGTAAAGAGGCAAACATTTTGGCAAATACATGGAAAATGTATACCTATACAAAGCTGCACATTGCTTGCACTTCCTTACCAAAGCGTTATGGGAACAATTGAGTGACTGTACCAAACTGCTAATAATTACTTTTGAAAAATCACAGAGAATGAAGGAGATACTATAGCACAGAACAAGCAAACCTCATGACAAGTAGGAGCAAAGTGTGATTCTGGCTGGGGGTGGTTAGGGAGGGCTGGTAAGTCTAAAATGGCAAGTTCTTGAGAAAACATTTATAGCAGAACTCTGGATGGTGCCCATGGAAAATGACAGTCACTGAAACAAGTGTTGTGGGAACAATCAATGCCAAAATACCCAGACAATATCCTTAAATACTGAAATCACCAGGTATCAACTACACCTATATGCAGTGTCCGGCTTTGATCAATACATTGGATAAAAAACAAACAGGGTGGAATCTATGGGACCAACCCAGACAATGTATGACAGTCAGCCACTCCACAAAGGGATAGCTTCTAAAATACAATGCCTTTATGAACAAACATTCTCCTACATTTCACCAAATTCTCCAAAACCCAACTAGCCTTGAAGCAGCTACATCCTTAACGCACACTGTTATTTACCTACCCTTCACATTTAAAATTGCCCTCATGCATTTTATAGCTCCACATTCTCTCTTGGCCTTTTCTTTCGTCCTCTAGCCCCTGCCTTCTGTATACAGTTCCTCCAGAGGTTACTCTTCCTTGTATTCTCCAGTAGCTTTCAAGAAATCTTGTCTCATCAACTCTCTCTCCCAATATGATAAACAACATTTGGTACTAAAAAAATATTTAAGTCCTTCAAACATTATGCTGGTGCAGTTTCCCTTCAAAGGAATATCCAGTACAAAGATGTACTACATTGCAGATCTTTCTTCAAGGCTAAAATTGAACAAAGGCAACCTGCATGTGTATAATTCCACAGACAACTTTTCAGGCATTATTTTGCATGTAGATAACATGATTTACAATTCTCCAAGGAAAAAGCATTACTTACAGCACAGTCAGAAGGGCCCTGTCAAATTTACTGGGTCTGTGCTTCTCCTTGCTCTGTTGTCTATGGTACTGAGCAGAAAGCAGGGTATCCTCTAGTAAAGAGTTAACTAGATCATCCAGAGGCTATGACTCATAATTTATAATTTTAGAGATTAAGCAGAGCGAATGATGAAACTAGTTTTACTGGGCATTTAACTTCACTGAATATTCATATCCTACATATGACGTTGTTTTCATTATTCATAATCATCTGATTCTCCTGCTCAGATTCAAATATGCTGTATTTAAGCTGAGCCTACTGAATATCAGTATCAAGTACCCCTCCACATCTCCATTATCAAAATCTTTCATTTTTATAAGCAAAGGAACACATAAAATATAACAATTAAATCCAAAGGTACTGATTTAGGTTTGAATGACTATTAGACTGCTGCAGTGCTGAATCTCACAAGGTATTTGTTTGCTGAAGTCAGTCTGAAAAGACCATTTGAATCCATGGAGCAGTATGCATGGGGCATGATCTAGCTCCAGCAGAAGATAATTATTACTATTACTACTGGGATAGATCTTTTAGTCCTGCTAAAAAACAAAGCAGCCCTAAATCTGGCTTAAAGATCTCCCGGAAAATTCCCACCTCTCTCTCCTCCCCAACCCCCACCCCTGCAAGGCGAATACTCTAGTATTATTAGATTGATTAGGGGCCCCTCTGTTACTCCCATATCGTGATATGTTGCTATAAGGAAGAGGGTATTGTTGGCATATACCCCACTGTATCCAGGTGATTCCCAGTTGATCCTTTGATGGGCAGGTGAATGAGAATCTCACTAGGCTGCTCTGGTTTATGCCAAGGACTAAATTGATATCTTGTTGCACTGGACCTTAGGGAGCATGCCCCTCTGTCCTTGCACTACATGTCATTGGGTCAGACTAGAGAATCTGGCTTACATTATTTAGAATCTAAGCCTTTTACTGAGATGTCAATGCAGACTCAGACCTGAGAGTGCAAAACCAGAGCTTCCATCTGTGTGTCTTCATACAACAGGATGTTACAGAAATTCAAGATAGCTTGCTATATTTCACACTAAAAATTACTGAATAATAAATGAGAGAGAATGGTTATTTCGTTGAAACAATGAATTGGCAACTGAGAAGATCTGATCGCAGTCCCAGTCTCTACCACAGATTCCCTGTGTGACTTTTGGCAAGCCACTTAAACTTCTTTGTTCCACAATTCTGCATCAGTAAAATGGAGACAATAATATGTCCTTTCCTCCATCCTTATCTTGTTATCTTGTAAACTTTTTTAGGAAGGGACCATCCTGTACTTTGTAGTATGTAGGTAAGAAGTTTTGTGTAAAATTGGGGCTTTTAGGAGTCATTGAAATACAAACTACAACATTAATCAGATACAACTTTGTGGGATTTATGTAGATATCAGGTTAGTGCTCAATCGCTCAGTCGCGTTCAGTACTGGATACCTTCAACTTCTGTTGGTTATTGGCACCACAGATGGGGGTATTCAACACCTTGCAGAAATAGTCCCTTCTAGGGAAAAACAAATGTGTTTTAGAACTGAGAAATAGAAGGCTTTACTGGACACAAAACAGAGTCTATATCCCACGTGATTCTATGCAGGCATGGTATTCACTTGAAAGAGTATTATGATTTCTATTTTTAGTTCAGCTTGCTTAGTGGAAATACCAGGAATCTTATTCAGAAGGAAGCCAAATGAAACACTGATGCCATGCTAATAACAAGGTGATGTCTGAGTGAGTAGGCTATATTTAAACACACACACACCTAAACCACACCTCAAAATGCTTGCAGGAGAAATACTTTATGCTCAACGTGCATTTCAAGCAAGGGCAAAGAGACAGTCAGAAAAGTAAATCCATGAGATCTATTCTTTTATAGTGGGAGTATGAATTTCCTACCACTAATGGCAGATAGCACAGCACTGAAGTATGCATTTGCCTTTCATGTGGGATTATCTCCAGCATCTGGTTACAAACAGATTAGGTAAAGAAGACAGTAACATAATTCCTGTCTCATAGAAACTCTTGCCTACTCATAGGAACTCTTGTTTCAATTTCTAGTCCGACACTTGAAGATGGTGCTGGTAAGTAGCAGAGATTTGCTGACAATAGTGTAGCAAGAGGTTCCCAAGCACCATAGGTACAACTCCATCAGGGCTAGCAAAACTCAAAGTGAACACAGATCATCAGCTGCTACCAGCCATCTATAGCATAATGAATTACATCTTCCAAAGTCCTGCTTTAAGCAGGGCTTAATCAGACAGTGATGTCAGAAGGTGACCTCTCTATACTAGGTCATCCACCTTCTCAGTGACCAATGTCATTGAACAACTGTTGGCAGCAGGGGAATTCACCCTTTTCAGTTTGTTATAGGATTTTTTAACAGGTGCTACATACCCAAGAGCACCTACCAGAAAATCATCAGCAATAAAGCTCTTCCAAGTATCCTGGAATGCCAAATGACCATGCTAGCTTTCTGATGTAGCCCTGACAGAACTCCTGCTTGGTCATTCACCATGCAGTTGCACTAAATTCCCAGAACAGTAAATCCATGCTCTGAAGCTTCCCTTGCTCCAGGTAGTTCGGAACACCCTTTCTTCCTTTGGCCTCTGGTACAGTTCTGGAGTATAAACCCTTTGTCTCTTGTCCGATCACAGAACTGTAAACTTGCTGCTCACCTGCTTTTGGTTCTCATGCACCCTCCCTCCACTCCCCCCCTCCCCACTCAGCAAGACCCCAGTAGCTTAAGCACTCCCTGTTCCACAGCTCCAAACTTGTGGGTACTCTGAGATTTCATTTCATCCACCCTTCAAGGACACATGAGTATCAAAAACAACCAGGCTCAAAGGTATTTTAGCAATTCCTAAATATGTTCCGTCTTTACTTTAACCAGCACAAGAGATACATAGGTTTAGACATAATAATATACATATATTTATGCAGTTCCATGACTCTTGAGTGCTGTCTAGGGCTGTCCAACGTGTGGCCCACAAGGAGTTAACTTCAGGCCCATGGGCTTCTGCCTGGTCACTATTCCCCTCCACTGCTCCTTCTGTTGCTGCCAAAGCCTTTGAGCTCTCTCCGCCTCTTGGAAAGCCAGTGTAGTTAAGGACCTTTGCACAGGGGGTTAGAGGGGTGGAATGCAATGAAACATAGGTGCCAACTTTTTGTGGGGGGGCTGATGGGTGTTTTGAGGGGAGAGGGGTTGTTTTGGGGTTTTTTGCATTCCCACTCTGAGTCCTGCGTATGTCCAGAAGAGGCAGCACATTACTTAAACCCAGCTCACCCAACATAGCTTATGAGTGCTAAGCATCCACTAATTTTTTTGGTGGGTGCTTGAGCCCCCCAAGTACTCAAGGAGCCAGCGTCTATGCAATGAAACATGTCACTGCACCAGTACTAGCAGAATGTACATAGTGTGTACAAAGAGAATGACAACTATACAGCTAGCTGAAAAGGACTTCCCACAAAAGCAATGGATAATATTGCAGCAGAAAAGAAACAGACTGTCCAGCTGAAATGAAACCTTTATTCATTTTAAGTTAGACAGTGTACAGGACAAAGCTACCATTGAGCTGAGGATGGCATCCCAAGTTAAGGATAACAAAAAATTGTTTTTTAGATATATAGGGAGTAAAAGGAAGGCCCAGGGAGGAATAGGACCCCTACTAGATGGGCATAAGCAATTGGAGACAGACAGGGGGGACAAGGCTGAACTCCTCAATGAGTTCTTTGCCTCAGTGTTCCTAAGCAAGGGGTAAGACAAGTCTCTCACTGGGATTGTAGAGAGGCAGCAGCAGGGCGCCAGACTACCATGCGTAGACACTGAGATGGTGCAGAGGCACTTGGAGGAACTGGATGCGTTTAAGTCGGCAGACCCGGATGAGCTCCATCCGAGGGTACTGAAGGCACTGCCTGACGTCATTGCAGAGCCACTGGCGGGAATATTTGAACACTCATGGCGCACGGGCCAGGTCCTGGAGGACTGGAAAAGGGCCAATGTGGTCCCCATTTTCAAGAAGGGGAGGAAGGAGGACCCAGGCAGCTATAGGCCAGTCAGTCTCACCTCCATCCTTGGCAAAGTCTTTGAAAAAATTATCAAGGCTCACATTTGCGAGAGCCCGGCAAGACAAATTATGCTGAGGGGAAACCAGCACGGGTTCGTAGCAGGTAGATCATGCCTGAATAATCTAGTCTCTTTTTATGACCAGGTTAGAAAGCACCTGGATGCAGAAGTAGGGGTAGACGTCATTTACTTAGACTTCAGGAAGGGCTTCGATACGGTATCCCACACCATACTGGTGAACAAGCTAAAAGGCTATGACTTGGATGACTGCGTGGTCCGGTGGGTGGCGAATTGGCTAGAGGGTCTCACCCAGAGACTCGTAGTGGATGGGTCGGTATCGAACTGGAAGGGTGTGGGCAGTGGGGTCCCGCAGGGCTCGGTCCTTGGACCGATA